CACTTTTATTGCTCGTTTTATTTCCTGTCTTGATAATTAATTCTCTATTGTATAGGACAACGGCTAAAAATTCATTGATTGGATTGTGAGGTAATAAGTTTGATAAGGTACATCTATAACAACTTCTCACTCAAGTTGGTGTCGTAAGGTGTTCGCACGCTTTTCGGTAAAAATTAATACTGTGTTTCGACGTTTGAAGAAAATACTTTAGCTTCGCTACCAGACGCAGCAGCTCAAAAAGCTTGTCATCGCTTTGCTCTTCCATACCACCGATGACCGGCCAATTACAATACGCTTAACATATTTGTCTACGGAGATTATTATAAACGAAGATCGATAAGTGCGGACATCCAGTTGCGATTTGCGTTTTCGATGTAATAACCCAGCAGACGGCGTTTAGGAGTCTATATGCATGTCTTTTTTGCGAAGGGTCTGTGTGGAGGTGTACAACGGGATCCATGTACGTAACCTTCATACCGTGCCGATAAGCATACGAAAGGTTTAGGAGAGTGCTTTCGTGTAGTACTACTTTCCCTTGGCCAATTATAATGGAGTTTGCAGTTGGACATAACGATCACTTGACTGCAGTGGCTTCAAGCAACTACAATTCATCACATTGATCCCGACTGCATTCACATCCCGATAGCAGGGAGGTCAAAGGTCCAGAATCAGCCGATTAGGTGACACACTCATACATTAAGTCGATTCACTTGTGTCTGATTGGTGAACGCGACCAATATCGTAACTAGCGCTATAATACATAATGCAAACAACCGTACGTTTTAGACATTTACAAGCTATTTGGCCTACTACAAAGCCCTGGAATAACAGGAAGTCGACATTACCTGAAACATGGATACACAAATCAACTTCACAAATAAATGGGTCACACATTTATTGCAGACACCTGTAGCTACTAGTAGTTTACTATTTTTTATTTGTATATACTTGTTTTCTAGGTCCACAGATTAACCTTGCCTGAAAGATACGAACTTCAGATCAGATTTGCAGAAGTCCTATATTATATATAATCTTCCAAGAAAAAAGCTATATATAGCTGATTAATTCAACTGCGATTCAACGTACTTAGGCTTCTAGAAAAGGTGTGCGGGGTAGATTCGCTCTGCGCGGACCACAGGTGCGTGCCAATATTATTTGAAAATGATATTTCATTCCAGTGAGGGTGAACTTTTTCTGCACCGCTTTCTCAATACGGTCATCATCAACAGAGATGAACTTACAAAGATTACGATAAAGAGAGAGGCACCACCCGACAGTTCCGGACCTCTTAGATCTGGTCGTTTGCATTTTAGTAATTCATATACTGAAACGTTATGACATCGCTCTCGAAGTCCACGCCATCGAAAATTTACATTTAATTATTATATAGGAAAAAATATCTTTTTTTTTTCATAAATCGTTGATATGGACCCAACACAATTGAAACAGTTACAGAAGAAGTTTCAGTAGGTTCGATGGTAACGGAATAATGCCCTTAAATTTCTCGTGTAGTTCTATATTGACATTTATATAGTCGGCCTCGGCTGACGTGTCACTGACACTCGTAAATCGAGTCAACCGGACCGACGTGCGTACGTTGCATGTCGGTCCGACCTTGACCGGTTAGCCCGGTTAAGTTTTTTTTATTTATGACGCCAGGTGAGCCTACTCAGAGAAAGAAAAAAACGAATCCTATCGCTGGGCCAGCATACTTATAGACGCCCCAAGCGACAATATATATATGTAATGTTGTATAACTTATTTGATTAAAAAACAAAAAATCTCAACGAGTTGACCAGACTCGTCCTTTTTTATCATTTACATTCCTAGACATATACGAGGCTGTTTGGGCGATGTACGGACGTTTATCCGCTAAATGAAAAGAGACTGTTTCAAGGAAACCGCTTAATCGAATTTATTGATTTTGCCGACATTGCTCGACTGATGTCAACAAGAATAGACAATGATACTTCTGACAGAAGGAATGCATTAGCGGCACAGAGGGGTATCCCGATGTGTTCAATAAGATGATTTAATCAGGTCCTTTTGTTCTAGAAGCTTCATCTTAGCTACAACGATAATAGTAATAGGTATAATATCGCCAATAGACTGGCTCAGAAATGTTAAAAGGTATTTTCGACAATTTAGCAACCGTGAGTAAAAAGTATACTACTATTATAACGTTTAACAAAGAAGCTTTAGTTCAACTAGAAGGAACTAACTTCAGAGGGAAATTGGCACCGGCCAGAGCCTTATTTATGCATCTCATTCCTGTAGACACTGAATTCTGCTTAATAGCATATTCCAGAATCAGCTGATGTTGCCGAGTTTATCACTGTTTACTTTATTACTGGTTTCTCAGGCATTATATTTTAGATGCGCGGCGCCGGTGAACGTTTCGGGGAAGCGTCACGCGTTTTCATCTAAGAAAACGGCACGGAATTTTTGTCGATTTCGGCCAAATAAAGCAAGCCTAAATAAGTTTGCGTTGGTCGTAGCCAGTCACTATATAAATAAGAAAATGAAAATCTCTATAAGCACATACAATAGGAAACGTATGTGTTTAAACAGCGCTGGCCTCTATATATTTCTAGCAGCGGGAATTTTTCAGTTAATAACGGACGACATATGAGTCATGTGAGATTGACCATCACGAAGCACTGTTTATGGCTTATATTATTTGATGAGATGGAGTATGTTCGATCGAAGTACATTTATTGCGCACGCGTATCCATCGCTCAACTATAAATGCATCGGCATAGAACTGAACAAATGTCGATTACAATAGGGAATGGTTTTCTGATATAAATCTGTTCTCGATCAAATTTCAAGAAACGTAAGTAGACTGTGCTTAGTTTTTTCTGAACGAGCGCGATGAAGATGCCGTCGATGCACTGCTTCTGGACGACCGAGCGCCTGGTTGAAATAGAACAACACGGAGCTCACTTTTTCGATGATGTATAAATACCACATTACGTGTAACTATAAAAAGTCTTTATAAATTAGTACAAATAGGCATCAACATCTGTGTGATACCATAGATTAATAACAGAAAAAAACCACAGCTGACAAAAGCAATGATAATAGACCCCAAATAGAAATCAAACTCGCTATTGTCTTAATTCGGGTATCAGCTCAAACGACAAAAGCAGCTTATGTCGGTAACTGGAAGAAGGTCGATTGCAGTCCTAGATGGCCAACTGTAGACCTGCTTGTTATGCCGGCTACTTATCTCTCCAACCTTCTATAAGGTCAGTTATAAGGACTATTCCCATGTGTTGCTTCTGTATCGATTCAGTCGTCAATTTTGATCGAGATGTTTCATAGTCAACTCATACAAACTCGTGTATGTTAAGACCCATAGACTAGAGTTCAGATAGCCATTTATGGTATATATAGGAATGATGATATTAATTTTTGCAATTATACATAACAGTTTGTGCGCACCCAGTATTCAGTATTATGGCATAGTACTATTAATTAGGATCGCTACTTTTTTTGTACACAAAGGGTAATAGGTCAGACGCCTGACACCAAGTCGAAAGTCGATGGAGGCTTTAATGCGCCAAATGGACTAGGGTCGAATGGGCGAAGTTCAATCTCTGTATTCCCGTCAGTCGGACTAATAATACGACGCAAAGTTTCTATAGCACCATAGTCGAAAAAATAAATTGCCTAAACAGAAAATGATTTTATTTACTCAGCCAAAAAAAAGATTGGAGGTCGGTTGATAATGAACGATAATTCTGACGACCAATGAGCATGTTATCAGTATTACGTTGTTCGCCTGTCAAAGACCTTTCGCTTATAGTCTGAATACTGTGGTATCAGCGGTCCGAATTCAGAATCGATTTCCTTGGATCGAGTTAACCAAACGTAATGCAATTAATACCTTACTACTAGACAACACTATGGAAAAATGGAACAAAGTTCCAGTTTCACAAATTGGCGAAGCCGAGCGAGCACAAAAATCGATTAAATTTTTGAAGTTTCAATGTTGCGATTCAGCGGTTACATACTATTTAGCCTATATTTGATAAATATGGCGATACGAATTAGTTAATGCAGCGATTAAACGCTTCCGGTGCACGTTTGCTGCATTGTTTTCGTGCAACTCTGCTTTCATATATTTATGGTTGGAGCGTCGAGGAACTTCTGCAGCGAGAAGTAATGAGCTGCTGTAGAAAACACCTGAAGTCATGCACTATTGTTAATCGTTAGTTCAGTCGTGCCTAGGTAGCCTAGTTTTATTGCTTAGGAAATGTTGGCATACATTGAAAAGATATGGATCACAGATCACTCATAAACTATATTCTACATCGTTTTGAACCATAAAAGGAAGCAAAACAACAGAACAAGAGAAATTGAACACTATCACCTTGCCTTCGCGCGAAACCACTCCAAAATATCGCTCGCAATTACTGGATTTGTTTGATGTCAAAAATAGCTACGAGCCACAAGCACACCCGGAAGAATCGTCAATCTGGGCACAGAAAAATAGGCCGATTGACTGGATCGCTGATTCAACCGATTCCGTGCTGAGTATTGTCCTATACCCAATAACAGTAGTTGTGGTTTACGGAATACGGTACTTCAATACAGCAAAGAGATGTTACACAGTATTTGCTGTGAAAGGGCCTAGCTAATGGTATGGATTAGCTTAATGAAAATATGTATAGCATTTGGGATGGTACTGTATATCCGTATAGAGCTTCGCCACAAATTTATAAACACCTGGACAGCTAACTGATAATAATGTTTCTGTATAAGCGAATGGGGCAGTCCAGCCGTTTTGACTAGTTATTGCTTCGCTGCTATTCATATTCTACCTACACTATTTGACTTTTCCTGTTCGCACACTTTCTGACCCAGAACGACATTTGATACGTAACGATCCACCCGTTTAAATTTCACAGCTACATATTATATTCGAACAAATATGTATGGCTAGATCGTTAGTGCAATTTCGTTGTCAAGCTTTACCTGAAACTGATTTTTACCTGTATAGAGGAGTCTGTCAGGGTAACTTTTCAGTTAGCTCTCGCCGCAGTGGCCGCCGGGGATATTGTGCCTGAATGTATCCCGGACGCAAATTGTCCGGCGTCCGTGAACGTCTAATCCGATTGGTAGTTGACCTGTTTTTAACGTTTTTATAAACGCTGACCGCCTCGTAACCACTGTCGTTTCTATTGTGTCTAAGAATCTAATCGGCTGTCGTCTCGCGGTAGTGGAGCTTTTCTGGCAGGCCGTCAGATGTCTCTAAAATAACGTCGATGTGCTGTTTCTGCCAGCAATGCAGACTGGCAGGAGAGGTCATTGGTACACAGTAACGGCTGTTACTATTGCTGTCGCCGTCGTCGTTATTCGATATTATATTGCGATCATTTCGGTTGCTTATGAACGTAGGGTCAGTTGCGTAATGTTGCCTCAGCTTTATTTGTGGTCCTTTCGAATGAATTCACCGGGGCAGCAGAGCAGAGTCTAGGAAATCGTCGCTGGGCAACAATCAATCGCGCGACTGTTCGAAATCGTATTTGTATGGTAATATAAGAACTGCTCGGCCGTTCAACTCAAAATATGCACGAACGGCGTCGGCAGGCACGGAATAGGCCACCCGAAGGATCCTCGACGTTATTTGCCAATGTAGGAAAACTCACTTTAACAGGCTTGAACGTACAAAACGAGAAACGCTAAACGTCTCTATTTCCCATTCAAAATTAATAGCCACAACGTAATACAAACCAGCACCAAATGTTATCGCACAAAAGTTGACACCCACTTCTGATCAAAGTGAGCGCACACTATTACACGAATACAAATACACGGATACAATGGATTCAGTTTGATCCAATTGGACCATAGTTCAGTAGCTAGCGCCGTACTCGGTATGGGCTTGCTTGATTCGGCTATTTGTTTACTGTAGAAAGACTGATCTTTACCGGCCAATTCGTTGAATTTCATACGAGTACAAACCGCGTACAATTCAGCTTACCTGCATTGTCACAACGACAGTGTCTGATGCTGGCGTATTACTACGCAGACTTCAAAGGATTGGCTTTTTGAGTGTATCTACCGCCGCAAGGTGACGTCGTCGGTTTTCGCTTAGTAGCAGCGTGCGCCAAAACAACACACCACTAGTCCGCCCAGATAGGACCCGATGATTATTGGCGACGTCTGCTTACAAATACGGTCCAGCGACACTACTTAGCTTCGTCCATCAACTCAGCGTCGAAAACGATGTATGTGAGAACTTCACGGATGACGAGCCGGCAACGGCAGTGATCGCGGCGGTTATATCGGGTAGCCACAGATAGTCCACAGTGCTGTATCTATAGCAGGCTGGCACACGATCCTTCTGATACGTCTACTTGCTAATGGGTGTGTGTATATATGGACGTATCCGGTGGTGTGACGACGCCTTTATGTCAGTCAAATGTTGGACTGGCAACGTGTAAGTTGATTGGCCAATATGATATATTCTACGCTTGGTTTAGTCTTTCAGCTGATCCGTTCACACACATGTACATAGGCAGATACGGATTCGGATAGTAATACAAGACCACAGGTCACTGGCGGTTATGTCGCCAGTCTGTTCATGTACGTGTTGAAGAAACCAACATTCCCCCTGCCACCACCATTAGCCCAGCTTTAAGCGTGTGCCCGCCATTCCTTCTCAATTGAATCAATCGATAACCTGCCGATATCACTCATTGCACTCACTTTAGTGCAGCATGGTTATAGTAAATAAATACCCACAAGAAAACTAACCACGTTACGATTACTGGCTGACCAGCTGGACTGACAAGCAGGCCGTCTGTGGAGCCGAGTTACGCAAACACCACGGCTGCAGTAGTGGTTTACTGGCGCAGACAAGAGATATGCTCGTAAGCAAAGTGATCCAATCACGCACTCCTTTACTCCTTAAGACGGAACCGAACGACCGCGCAGTAACTACCGCCTTGTAAAACGCCAAGGCACGTATTTAGACGGTTCTGTTCTCTCGGTTTGGTCACAAGATCAATACAAATACCGACTATTCGTTTCGGGGATCGAACAATAAGGAAAGAAAACACTTAAGTTTTTGTTCGTCATAGTGTTCTTCTTGATGTCCAGATCGAATAGCGTGGAGTGGGAATGAGGTATCATACAAACAATGTCTTCTCCTGAATGCAATCGAACGCGCTGACGAGACCGACTTTTGGGCGCGCTGAACGGGTTCTGTTGCCACAAAGTCACTTGAACACAGATACGGTTAGGTATTGCCCGTCCTTGACGTTCCGATGTGTTATTCGTAGTTCTGTTTACGTCTTATTACCATCGATGTCAATCTGATTTTAACCTTTGTATGCGTCGCTCAGATGGCTGATTGAGTGAGATGTGCAATCGACTATTGGTGTCGCGGTCTTCGTTTCGTCGAAAAACCAGTGAGCTCAGCTATTTGATCGGCTAACGCACTGCTTCGCTTTGCTCACTGATCGCCGGAAAGTTTCGACGCTGGCTGACCTTTGTGTCACGCGAGCTAAATACAGGATTACATACACGTCATATAGTGTATGATATTCTATTTTCTCGAATTTTTCACGAACGTCTGCCGAGGCGGTTCTTTTCTCTGTAAAGATAGATAATCGATGACGCTTGGCCGTTCCTGTCTACCACCGCGCACCGTCCACGGAAATGATAACACATGAGTCCTTCACATGCACTCACGCAGCAAATAGGCAACACGAGCATTCCAGGTTTGATACCGGTACGCCACTGAACTACCTTCTAACTCGATTGCAGTAGCCATATTGTTTGACAACTAAAAGTATCTCCAGAACGAAGGTAATGGAGTGACAATGACTCTGATGGGAGAGTGCTGTCAACAGGACCAGCAACTGAATATTAATGCATCGATTATGCAGCACCTGGTAAACTTGATTCAAATCGTTTCTACGCGTACCTCGAATGCCTGTTTAATCGGTAGGTATTACTAGACAGGATGGAATAGTGTTTTTGCTGGCATCAACGTTTTGCTTTAGGCCGTTCCAGCCCGTTGGCGAGGACAATAGCTGCTTAGACCTACTGTGATTGTCAGGTGTGCGGCCTTTACACTAGAACTGCACTGGGTATTTGTTGCTGTTTTTTCGAATGTCCGGAGTCCACCTCTGCGCGCCACCGTCCATCAACCAAACGAAGTGGATCGATAGGTAGAGCAGCTGCGGTCACCATAAGTGCCGCATGTACTGAATGAGCCGAAGACAAACAATAGACGCGCATACACACATACATGCAGACACACGCACTCGCACACACACACACACACGCTCACCCACTGGATTTCTCTATATAGAGAACGTGACACGCAGACACACAAATAGGGAAGAAACAACCACTCGAAGATGTCAACGAACAACACTGCTGACAGCTTTTTTTATACAGAGCTTTAATGGGTCAGCTTCAAATCAGGCACACAGCTCGTGCCTTTGCTTGCTTTGTCGTCCCTGTTACTTTGTTGTATGAGATTATTGCATTTGACGTTCACGCTGCGTTCTTCGTTATGTTACTTATCGTATTCGACGATTGCGTAGTGATTCTCTTTGTGTGAATGTGCAAGCCTGAGGGGAAGGACCACACGACCGTACCTCTCCAGTCAACACAATGATTAAGTTGTCAGCTGCTTAACTTGTTTTGTCTAGGGCTCCCCAGTATCTCTCCGAATATTTTGCAAAAATTCTCAAGCACCAGACTCTTTCCCTATGTCATTTCTATGCGTGTATGTCTGTTTATTAGTGAGGTTCTATGCATGTTCCAGTTCTGCTTCTTGTTCAGGAGCCGCGTTCGTCGCTCCCTGTTGGTTGCTGCGACTCTCCTTATCGCCACTGTTGCTCTTTTTGCTACTGCTGCCGCTCAGGACCCTTTCGGCAGCGTCCGCTGCAGTTCTGCCTGGCTCTACGTTGTTTTTAATGATGCTGCTGCTACGATACGGCGATACGTTGACAGGTATACGTCGAAAGATACAGCGCCTGCGGCTGCAAAAATGATGCCGGTGATCTTCGTTGGATGCGACGGAAACCGAGCTCCGGGCGGTTTACGAGGGAGTACACTGAGGCAGCGGCTGGTGGCGCCATCGACGGACGCCACCAAATCTACGGCGTCGCCGCGAACAGCCGCCACTGCCGCCGCGGCTGTGTCATGGTCACCACTGCGATTATTTTTGATACTGATGCTGCTGATGCTACGAACGCTGCCTTGACTCCTCCATCTAGTCCAGAAACAGTGCATGCGTGTTGGCTATAGACACGCACGGGGCAAAGCGTTTGTTGGTCGCCCTATAATGAGCACTTGGCTGGGTCCGATCCTGGGTGCGTGTGGAAAGGCAAACTATCTGACTATTGAAGCCCATCTAGTCTGTTATTCTTTATGGCCACTATGTCTTCCACTATGTTTTTTGGAGGGGTGCTGTGTGTCAACGTCATAGTAATAGTGCTGATATTGATAATCTTTTTGATATAGCTATAGATGTGATATAGATAACTTTTTTGTTTACTGCTAATGATCTTTACCGAATCAGCAGCGCACTGATGGTAAGCGTTTTTTGTTCTTTGCTAGAAACTAACCCTACAGCCCAACCAGATTGCCCCGTTACCCTCCAAAAGCAAAGATTATGCAGGAGGCAGTTGGATCTAGGTTAGTAGGTGCTGATCAATGCACCCCGTGATAGCTTACTTGGTAACGTATTGACTGCTAATCTTAGAAAGGCATAACAGTACATGTATAGGGCGTAGTCGCACCTTGTTTTATGCTGGGAGCCAGCCGTCTAACAGTATAGTTAACAGCAGTGCCGAACATAAAACTCAAAGCATTTAGGTCAATGCACAACAGGCCCGTCGCTGACAAAGGTTCGAAATGCCGAATAAAGGTAGCGTACACAAAGGATGAAAGGTACCAGTTGCAGGTAGCGTCTAGTTCATAGAGCTGTAATTGCTACGCAAAGGACAAGTGGCTCCATTAGTTATGATAAAACCGAAGTGCTTCTGGTATGATAATGAGATGTTTTAATTAATTGATACATAAGAGCTAATACCGCTTATACAACTCATCGTGAAAATAAACAAGGTCAATACAGAAATATAACAGCGAAGATGATGTGCTTACCAGAAGTCCCGGTTCGAATAACCCTTGCATTCGTAATTCATTATTTGATTAAAGCATTATAAGAATTGGCTATCTTAAACGTTATCAGATGCAACAAATCGTCAAAACACTAGAGCGAGGTTTAATCATTCTATTTGGAACTATGTCTAGGATGTATTGCAAATAGATCACCTTGAAATTATTGTTAATGAAATTGGGGAAAGTAGCATTTGGTTCGTGAGCGCCCTTCTCAGAAAAACCTGTTTCGAACAGAACTTTCGAGTCCGTTGTGGGTACCTTTAAACAAATGTCAAATAGACGCGACATCACGTACGATATCATATATTAGGCAAGTTGTCGAGACTTTAGACCTAAATAAAGCTATCTTAGATACGTCTTATTCAGCACACGAACTGGTTGTCTTGCAGTAGGCATTTATGCCAATGAAGTGTGTACTCTTTTGCTGAAGCTTTGCATTGCGACTGAAGTTAAAAAAAAAAAATCAAAATAAAAACTGGCGCATCACCGGCCGGAGGAACACCGCTATCTTGTTGAAATGTCTACTAATTTAGAACAATCGAAGTAATTCTAAATAAAAAGTAATCGAAGTTCGATGAAGTCACAGTTATGCTTTGGATGAAGCCAGCTCCGTTTTTTTATCTAAAATAATTATTATTTTTTATCTACTCGGCTCAGGATTATTGCAAGCGAATGCCATAGCTCATAGCATGACTCTAAACTACACTTTGTCGTGTCTTTGAGGCTAGCTTTGATTACTTATCTCATATCACGATCTTTACTAATATGAAAGCAACGCTGAAACCGAACGCATGCCTCAAGAAGATTCTGCAAGCTATCTAAGTGTATTGGCATCTGTGCTACTCGTATGGAGGACCACCATTTACGTAGTAGTTTTAACAGCAAATATCATTATTCGAATTACATATCATCACAGTTTATTATTACCCCCACTGGATATAATTGTATCTATGATATACAGATTTTTAACGCCTATTTATTCTACAATACCGTAGCAGTTTCAAAGGGCACAAATCTCTGGAATACACTTGGGTGCTTCAAGGTGTGGCTGGTAAAGCCTGCATTTCCGGTTTATCATGCCTCAGTTGACCCACCTAAATTGATGCAGACTATCTTGTCGATACTTCGGTCAAAGACGTCATCTCCATCAGATCGAAAGGGCTAAGCACAGAGAGGTATATGGGCATGTTTAAAACAGGCAAAGTTTCTTGTCATAAATGTATTGTCATATTCTTTTGCGCTAAACAAAACACCTGAAAGTACTACTTGCGCAAGCTTACTTCTAAAATTCATATCGCAAAAAAGATACGAAATATAACAATAATAATAAATTATTTATAGCTTCATAAATTGCGGAAAAAATACGACAAGCTCGTAAAAGCAGGGAGCGGTTGCTATGCGCTGAGAGTCTTGTCGCGAACTTACTTGCGCGAAAGTACTAACGAGCGACGTTTGCCGACAAAACATTCCGGTTTGTCTAATTTGACTAGTATCTCTTTAGGGGTTTAGGAATAGTAGCTGGGTAGCGAGATCGGTGCCGCAATTATTTACTCATTACCAAGCTGAGAAAATTGATTTAACCAGTACAATGTAAAGGCTGTATTTCATTTTCGAGATCGAATACCGATATTAGATAAGCGTAGATCTCCAAAAAACAAAGACGATCCTTTATTGAGGACCATATAGGTGGACTTCCTATAGATAATTGGTACCGCCAGCCAAATCGTAATTAAAGAATAAGTTCTTCTAGGATAACTGTAAGTATGCCTATCCTAAAATGCTCTTGATCTTTATTACAAGGTCCATTATTTCCTTCTACCATACCCTTGTATATAGGATTTTAACCAGAAGTAATGTTACTTTTTTAAGAAATTCGATAGGAGTTCGGTGTCAACAAACTGCTTTTGGGCAGCTAAAGGATTTCGATGTTCAACACCGTAGAACATAGTAGTTATACTAAAAATTAAATTCAGTCAAATCTTAAAAATAAATACTTCAAGAAACTCATATGTTGGGTAATTTAATCCTTGAATCTCGTTATTTATTATTATTATTATTATTACTAAATCAGTTATTGGATTTTTAAACTTTTTTTTTTATTTAATACCATGGTATGCATATATCAGTAACTTTCATTATCAGAGCAGACATAAAGAGCAGCTAAACTTCACCTGCTCGCGCGCGGTTAATCCTATTCACGACATATAGGATTAAGATCCCTTAACCTATTAACGCAATTGGAGGTGGGTGGACTTCCATTGCTAAAGGGGGCCGATAACAAAAAAATCTCATGAACCTATCGTAGAATAGCAAAGCCAGTTCTGGCTTACGTTTACTATAGGTAAATATAATTTCAGACAAATTTATTTGGATGTGCTTCATCTTTCTCACAGTTTGCAGTAGTATTCACAAAGCTTTTGCCTGTCATTATTGCGACGAGCATAGCACAACGGTTATATACTTGCAAAAACTTAGCGTGTATTATTGTTACTGACTGTAGTAATATGAGGTATATATCGTTAGGGTCAAGAAGGCAATTGGGATATAACGGCCCCAGCCGTTATAATTTCAGTCTCCAAAAAACGGTCTAGTCTTTCACAAGTTAGTGACCTCGATGGAGTGCGCGCTCGACCACCTTTGTGTAACTGACCTAACCATGACACTGGCCAGCTCATATTCGAGGACTTATTTTCATTTTTTTTATCATTTTTTTTTTTTAATTTTAGTTACTGGTTAAATTACGGTAAAAGATAAGTCGGCTAGAGGTCTAATCGTCGCAAGAAGCAGGTCTTCGAGGCAACCGTTAGTGCTGGTAGCGGCATCAGGTCGTGTTTCATGTGGTCGCCAGCAACGAAGCCGGAATTAGGAGGAGGGCTTGGACGGAAGAGGGCGTCACTGACAAGGGTGACGCGACGCACGCCGTACCTTTCGAAGGTTACCATCCGAAGTCATCAGATCTAAGCTCCACAAAGCGAAGACGTCGGCTACGTAGAACGTTGACGGGCAAGAATGCAAGAGTGCTCGCACCGTTGTAGAATTACGGCGATGGCGTGCAGCAGGTGGTCAGTTGGTAGCCGTTGCAAGACGCGATAATATTGGCCCTTGCGAGGGACGGAGCCGCACGGAAGACACGCAAAAATCTTCGTTTTTAGCATTTCTCGGTTATAAGTAGAAATTGACTAAGAATTCATAAATTTAAAATACTATAGAACTAAAATGGAGTACGAAAATCGTTCCCTGAGCTCATTCAAATCTCTAATTAGATTCTCTGGCTGTTACAACAGCCATCTCCCTATAGCGTACACACTGTTAGTAACATGTATAGATAAGCCGCAAATAAATCGTGTCGTTCATTTTGTTTCATACCTGACGCTGATAATACCGAACGCTGTCAAATAAAATGCGTGCGGAGTAAAACGCGCCTGACTGCAGTATATAATTATGCAAATATAGTAGTATTTGTTTTATTTAGACATATACGTAGGCAGTTTAACTACCTGCCACCTAAAAAAGCCGCAGACCCCCTGGTAATTAAAGATAAACTAAGAGATAAATTTGAATGCACAAAAATTAAGGCCTGTAAATTTTAATAAATTGTAATTGTATTATCCGAGACTAAATAATAAGGCAATAAATACATGAATCTGAAGGCTTCAAAAATACCTTATAATCCACAATAAATATACCAGAATGTGATCACCGAGTGATAAGCGAGGTCGTCATTTATTATAAGTGATCAACATTAACCAGAACAATGATATGAGATTTAACCAATAAGAAAGATATTTTTAATCTTTTTCTTGGTTCAGTAAACGAAATTATATTTTTCTCCTGTTTACCAAGCATGTTCTACCTACCCTTAGAAATTCACGCAGCTTGACATGAGCCTTCAGAAAATAGTTCTGTTGTAATGATAAATATATTTTTCTAACCTAAAATAATTGTTACCTAGTATCTCCACCTAAATATGCGATATCAATTACATAACGTTCACCTTGTTAGGACACAAATCTATTTATAGACAGTATTAATAAAGGAAATCCATGGATGCATACTATACTCTCAACTGTCGCTGACCCATTACCAGTAAGATCCTTTCGTGAAGGCTCAAAACCTTTCGGTACCCGGACTAACATGACAGTGTGCTGTCTTTGGAGCAGAGCTTGAGAGATACCCTGTCTGGTACTCATACCGTACAAACACTTTGAAAATATATGCTGTGATACAATATTGTGTAATATCATGAGGCGAGAGACACTCCACAATCAAACAAAATACAAAGTTATAATTTAGTCCACAGCTTTCTTCATAGATGAATATAGCAATAATGCAGCTACGGATAGATCTCTGATAACGATTTGACCTCGTTGTACACACTCGTTGGGATTGCGTCACTTCGGTCATACATACAATACTTGTAACGCCAATTGGGATATCATATCTAAAACAAAAAAAAATTATATATATATATATATATATATATATATATATATATAATTCACTTTGGTATTAGATTACTTACAAATAGCGCAAAATGTCACATAGCCTGTTTCGCCACCTGGCTATGTTCATAAGCAAGCCATTAATTTTGTGCCTATATAGTCGTATCCGATAGCATTCGCAATCCTGTCATTCATCAAGCGGTAGCTTTCAGTTACGAATTGAGGCATAAACAAATATATACACAATAATAAATCGGATTTGAAGTGTTTACATTTTTCCGATGTTTGTCAACGCCGCTTTGGTTAGAATCGCATCTGTACGCAAGAGTTCCTTTTAATAGATGATAATGTCCTGTATAGTCGTCGACGCAGCTAGATTGTGTACATTGTCGAATCAGTCGGAACTTTGTTTACGTTGGAATGACTTTACTTTTCCAAAAGCAGGTTTTTCTACGTTTCCTTTAGGAATCGCTGTTTTCCTACATTTCCTGGACGGGTGTTTAACAGTGCATCGTGTCCATGTCGAGTATTTCCGGCCGGTCGATTCGATTAAATTCTAACCGATGCACTGTCTCGGTATACAAGAATGCCACGAGTGTCCATCGTGACTCGGTGAACCGAGACGCCACCTAACTGGTTCTGTCGTTTGGCCGTTAGCTCATGCATGATCGCTAAATGAGCGTCAGGACTCGCCGTGATGGCAACAAGAAATCCACCCCCACCAGCTCCAAGCAGTGAATAGCCTAGGCAGAGAGGTTCGATTGCTCGAATTACCTGACCAACCTGTAATAGAAATAATATAGTGTTACAACGCTAGCAAAACAGATATGGCTCTTTTCTGATATGCGAATAGAACACCGTAGTGGTCTGTTCTCGAAAAGACTCGCCCATAATATTTACGTAGGACATAGCAGAACTGGGTATGGATAAAGTGGAAATTAGAGAAGACTCATTGAGAGACCAAACAAGTCTAATACTTGTGCGTAAACAAACGCAGATATAGTTACTTTGAATTAAAAAATTTTCTAATGGGGAGAACTAGTGCATATTTTTCTACTGGGTAAGCACCCATCCGTTACTTGGTCTATAGCTTCTAACATTAGTCTCGTAAATGTACCTCGGGCGGTTCGCTTCCCTCAGCCAGCTTCTTCTTTAGCTGCCAGTAGTCACTTAAAAGGCGAGCCATAGTGCCAAGATCCCTCATCTTTACAGCCCCCTGCATCTGCATCGAGCCCGTGTGCAAACGTCGAAATGCATCGTGCATTGTTGGACAATTCGAATGCCACCGAGAGAGCACGACGTCCAAGATATTGCGCGCCAATCGAACCTATCCGCAGAGAGGACATATGTGACAACGTACATGAACTCAACATGCGAATATCTGGTGAAGATGAGATAAACCCCACACGTAGTTTCAGTTCTATCCAACCAGACTACGCGAATTCCGGCAGAGCTCACCTACTAGGATCCCATACTTGAATATTGTGTAAGATCGAAAAACCTTAGCCTAAGAACAGCTAAAGAACGATTAAGCTTTAAAATTACTAGCTGGTTAATAAGCGGAATGCTGTAACAACATTCTAAAATTTAAGAATCGGTTCTTAAATATAAGCATACTTATAGTACCTTGCCAGTATAGATGAGCACGAAGTGACGCTCGATGAGCTCCTGAAAGGTTTCCTCGATAGGCAAAGGCTCCCATCGGATCCGAAAAGGCAGGCCGGGCTTCGTGAAGCCTCTCTTAAGTCCGCCAATTAGTCCTCCAACCTGGTCTTGCCAACCGCCGCCAGTTGTTAGAAGCTGTTCCACTGCCAGCACGACCTTTGACACGAAAAACTTGCAGTTTGCAAATCAATCGAATCGATAATTAACCGCCGAAACAGGTTGGTCGATACATTTCTTGTAGGAAATGTATCAACCATATTATCCTGTACATAATGCTTTTGTGTGGTTTACCAGAATATACAAATAAACGGTTCAGTTCTAGTTATGTAACAAAGTCATGCCAATTACCTAGTAAAACTTACATCGACATTTTTCGAATTGACTATCGTATAATATCTCTACATAAAATGAAACGTGTCGATTGTTACAGGGCTGAAACCAAAAAATGTCAGACAAAAAAATCAGACCAAAAGACAAAAAATGCGCTAAAACTGCGCACGACAATGATGCTCAGTTCACACTGGAATACGCACATGTAGTAGGCAACTCCGATCGTAAAGACGCCCAGTAGCCGTCCACACAACGGCACAAATGGCGCTCGCTAAAATACTACTGGTTCCTGCCGAACGAAAAAGAACAAAATCGAAGCCGTGCTAAGGAAGTTAGGAGAGTATTTGCGAACTCAAATTCGGACCTAACCTCAAAAGGTAATGCGAATCATGTTAAAGATTAGAAAAACAACAGAAGATATTAAAATTGTTTTTGAATCTCACCAAGCGGCACAGACAAAATGATTAAAAATCGGCGGCTCCTACATTTTGCCGCTCATCTTTCTTCTAGACGCATATACATTGTCCCTTGTTCACATTAAAAGCTACTTTAGCCGATAGTTTATGAAATCAAATATTAGAAAGAGTAAACCGGCGTTTCTCGTTACCGTCATACATCTCTTTCAATTGCTTTTTTCAAACAACCGTGTTACACGGGCTACCTTAGATTCTCACCAAGTCCACTACCGTGTGGAAGATGCGATGCAGAGACGATATCTAGCCCTCCTCCAAATTCTTCCTTAAGCTGTTCCGATAAATCTCGATTAGACTTGAGTATTCCGCACGCTATAACACAAGCCTGAAAGATGTGCCAAAAGACGGAAAACAAGTCCGGTAGATTACGTTTCATACGGCGCCATCACATGTAACCGTAATGCACGAGCATTGCTAATCGCTATAGATTATGAACTAAACTCGTTAAACCCTTAAGAACTATGTTGGTTGCTCGCACCTTCAAGAGCGCTCCTTGACCGAGGGGATTGAGAAAATCCATAAGTTGTTGCATATTTTCGACTAAGATGATTTTTTCGGATAAGTTTCTTTCTAGTAACGTCAACCGGATCGTTGAATGTTGCGAAGTTAGGCGAGCTTTCGCGGAAATCGGATGGGTGCCGTCCACTAGAATTGCCATGTTTACCTTAAAACAAAAGTTCCTTTATAGATTTAGCTTTATCATCGAACACGCTAAGATCAAGTGATCAGAAGAAAGATACCAGTAGTATTTTATAGCCATAAGACCGTATTAAATAATTTACGACATCAAGCGTAACAAGGAGCGTACTGAACCTGCCGTCTAAAGGAACCAGGACTAAAATAAATCAGCAGTAAGTTCGATTTTTGTACAGAAAACATCTATACCACAGAGCCTCCCATTTCGTAACACACGGGGGGCGTGTCCGTCCAGCCACCGTAGAGATCGATTCGCGCCGGACAATAAGCTTCCACCCAAACGTTGTCCAATTTCGGGACAAAATCTGCATTGCGTCAACGACAGGAGCAATATCATTAGGAACAAAGAAAAGGAATTGGGCATATTTACGGTGACAAGTACCAAACCTATATGTATATGAATATATATATAAAAGTATATTAAGTGTTGTACATGAAACGGTAATAAACATGTGCAGCATATTAATTACCATATATTAGATAAGCTAAACAACGTTTCACCTGTTGGTGCATGTCTGAAGAGCTAAACTTGGTAAGCAATGTTTGTTGTTGCCGTATTCTTACCATGGTCTTTGATGATTTGTAGTGTGTCTAGCGTTTTAACGACATTTTTTCTTATCGACTCCTTAATGCTAGGGTCAAGTTTTCCCGATAACGACTCCTTCTGCGTAAAAGGTAGATCCGCTAAAAGAGTGCTTGCGCTCACAAAGCCATTGCCCGAGTCTATAGTTTTCATCTAAGATACGAAACCGTAATACAAACAATCGCCCACAAAGAATCGAAGATTGCAGAAGTAACAACAAAACGTACAGACCACAAATTTTATGAAAATAAAATTTTTCGCAAATTTATATTTGTCCATTGATTATGATTAAAAGCATTGAAGCTTACCCGAGCCTTGTTAAGTTCAAGGACCACTGTTGATACCATAAGCTACTTCGAATAAAACCGGACATCGGACACACATGGACTCCACTTCAGTAGTGCTTGAATACAGTTACGGCTGAACAATTTTCGTTGTACGTACGAAAAGTGATAAATACCAGCCCGTAACGGTGGTCATATGATAGGATGTACTATATGTGTTAATATTATCATACTGCTCACCTGTTGTAAAGTCTGTTGTTCGCGACAGTGGCTGCTTATGTTACTGCTGCCGTCGCCACTGCCGTTATGATTGAGCGCGGTGCAATGTACGTTGTTGTTCTCGCTATTATTGTTATTGCTATCGTTATTGTTTTCACGAATGTTGTCGATGGCGCCGGCGTCAACGATGGACTCAGCATTGGCGTCGGTTTTAGGTTCAAGAAGGATGTCGGCTTTCGGTTCGGAGGTGACGTCGTTTTCACGTCCAAGCGTAACTTCAATTTTGGGTTCAACGTCGTCGATTTTTTGTTCAGTGTTGGTGTAGACCTTCGGCGTAACTGTGGTGTCGTCACCCTTAACCCCGATTACGCCCTGTGCCGGCGACAGCGGGAAAAGTTGAGTCTCTCTGTGGTGTTCATCCACTTCTCCAATGTTGAACTTTCCAACCAAATCACTTCCGCATTCCGCTTCATTGGTCTCGTCGATCATCGCACATGCGACCCACTGCAATCAAATGAATTGCACAGATGTGAAAGTAGAGAAAACTCTGGATAATAGATATATTTCTGTAGCATCTTGTCAAGCGGTTATCAAGATTATAATCATGTCTGTAGATTCTTAAAAGTACAAAGCTTACATCAAATGATGAATGACTCAATTGAAAATGCAATGCTTACTACGCGCCCTGTGTTCGCTAGTTATGTTACAGAATTCATTGGAAGTGTCTACTTTCTAGTGGTAGCTCTTTAGTTACTCTCTGCGAATAAAAACAACATTTGTAAAGTTTGCAAAGCGCCTCTAAAAAAAAGTGCCTCCTATAATACTCGTACTACTTGCCCGCTTTATATGTGTGTAATAACTGAATCTCTACGTTGATACAGCGGCGGGTCGCACAATGGGCGCAAACAAAATAAATTTGTTTGCAAAAAGCTCGAAGCTGACATAATGACTAGTGTTACTATTTAATACTAAGTAATAGAGCTTCATCGTTTTTAAAACATTAACGTGCCGATAATGTTTACAGACACTACATCCTGCCTCTAGATATTTGCCTTCACAGCAGCCTACGACCTTAAGCAGCCTTTTCTAACTGCAGTAAAATCTATGAAATATAGGTCCTCTTTTTCAACCAAAAGACCACAGCCAATCTTGTTCCTATGCTATTGTTATATACAGCGTATACAGACGCCGCTATTCTATTCGCTCACCTTATCGGAGGCCTACCGGAAAAAGCAACAGTCAGCAAAGCGACAATAGAGGAAGGAGAGAGCAAGACAGTCGAAAAGACAAATGGTAGTCGAATAGCACCTTATAGCTTCCGTTGTAGCCGTATTCGGAAAAAGTCAAAATTGTTGCACTTCTAACCATATGCTAACCCAGCGACAAAATGATCATATATTTTTTTACAAATATAGATATTTTACCCTAAGTAGAATAACGCTAAAGAACTTCTGCCCTCAACGATCTGTCTGGAAGCCCCTTAAGACCCAAAACAAAAGACCAGACTCAATTTCTCCGGCAAAGCATAGTTGTTTGCTTCATTGTGAATGGGATTATATGTGTGTGGGTCTATAGATACCTTCCATGCGCTCAGGCTATTAAGCACCGCTAGGATCTATGTAATGAATTATTTTCCTAGACACATGCAAAGGTTTAGAAATCATAGGAAAATGAATCTTCCATAGTGTGGCTACAAAGCATTTGAAGCTATATAAAATGTCACTCTTCATTCATTCGAATGGTGTAGTTTTTATCTGCGTAAGCAAGGCTGCACAGTAGATTGTTTATCATTTTTCCTCATCCTCAAGGCACCGTACTGATATTTTTGTTATGCTATTTTCTATGTATGACCTGTCTTGACTTACTTGATCGTGACAATTAATAACGCAGAGGTTTACAAGTGAGTTTAGCTTGATTTATTTCCTCGCACCAATTAATTACAGTCCTGATATTGTCTAGTCTTTGCACGCTGCATAGGCAATCCGTTAAGATTCTACGCAACACGTACGTAAATGTTATATTCCTAAATTCAATAACAGTTTTCCTTCGTCAGCTCATACCATCGTACAAAATCGTACATGAAGGTATACGTTGTATTCTTCTGGAGTTTGATTTGTTTAACTCAGCCAGTCAGTCAGTCGATATCCAAATGGCTATGAAATCTTTGCTTTTTTATTTAAAGCGAAATACACATGATAGTATTGTACTTATATTGATTATACATAGCATTACATGGATCGTATAAACCGTGGGCGGTACGTCTGGTAAATGGTTATATATTTACAATATAGTCCTGTAGTGGAAATATGGTAACTACCGTTTATTGTGTCCGCCTTTTTAGAATTGGCCACTAGCTGTAGAATACTTTGTCAAACAAAAGTTCGTGCAAGACGTGGCATATTAAAAAATATCATTCTATCTCGGCAAGAAGTAACTAGAAAGCAAAATACATAAAACTAGTTTTAAACTAATCTAGAAACAAACTAGCACTCAAGATATACACGCTAGACACATGTGTATTTGCGTAAATGATCGACAATAATGCGACCTATTCGTTCGTTAAGAACACGAGTTCTTCTATTGTTGCTTTTCGATGTATGCGAGACATTCTGCCAACACTTCAACAGTAAAATCCGCATCTTGTTTCGTGACGCACATTGGGGGCTTAATACGAATGACGTTGCCATTGTTTCCACCGCGACCAATTAGTAAACCCATTTCCTTGCTTCGATCCATAATCTTCAACATTTTATCTGCTTCCAACGGCTGTTTGGTTTCACGATTCGTCACTAACTCAACTCCAATCATCAATCCTTTGCCGCGCACATCTCCAACTGTTTGACAATGAGCCTTTAATTTGTTGAGTTCTAACAGTAAATAAGTCCCCACGTTCGTACAATTGACCTGCAGTTTTTCTTCGTCGATAACGTCAAGGACCGCACAGCCGACGGCAGATGCTAATGGGTTTCCGGCAAATGTATTAAAGTAGTTTGCCTCCGTTAGCGCAGCTGCGACGGCAGGTCTGGTAACGACAGCGGCTAATGGAAATCCATTTCCAATGCCTTTGGCCATCGTAACGATGTCAGGAATAACATCGTGTGTTTCGAAACCCCAGTAGTGGCTTCCCAGCCTGCCAAACCCAGTTTGGACTTCATCAGCAACACACAGTCCGCCTTTGGCACGGACCATCTCATAGACCTGCTTCAAATATCCCTTTGGAAACTGGACCGTTCCACCAACGCCTTGAATGCTTTCGGCAAAAAATCCTGCGACTTTCTTAGGAGTTGAGTGTTCAAGCAGGTTTTTTACTTGGCTGGCATACAAATCAGCGGCATGACACGAATTCAAGGGACAGGTACATTGTCGATCAGTTTGTACCGGTCCGTCCCGGCAGGCTCGACCACCCCACACTCCCCGATACGGGTCCGCGTTCATGCTGTGATGCACACCAAAATTACCTGGTTGAGGTCTCTTGTAGCTCGACACCGCGCAAAGATTAGAGCAGTATGGGCTCATGCCATGATAGGCGTTCCTCAGAGAGATGACATCCCATGCGCCGGTGTGAGCTCTCATCAACACCATCGCCAGATCGTTGGCTTCCGAACCACTGTTTACAAAGTAGCATACTTTCAGATCACCTGGTAGTTTTGATGTCAGTCTCTCTGCAAATTCATGAACAGGCCTAGTAAGGTATATGTTCGACGTGTGCCATAGCGTACGCAGTTGTTTTTCCGCTGCTGCTGTCACCTTCGGATGACAGTGGCCTACAGAGACGGTGACAATTCCGGCGAACATGTCCAAATATCGATGACCTTCCTCGTCCCACAGCCACTGCATGTGGCCCTGAGTAGCGTATAATGGACGACTGTAGAACAGGTTCAATGTGAGCGAAGGGTTGAGGTACTTCCTTCGCTGCGCCAATATCTCGCTAGCTCTCGGCCCGTGGTAAGTTTCTGGCTTGAAGTTACATGGTGGCATTGTTGCCAACCGACGCATGGATAATGAAAAACGCCACATTTTGTACACTTTCAGTCTATCACTTGTCTCTTATCCGACCGATTGTAAAATCAAAATATCTGTCCGTGTCAATCTTGATTTTCTTATTTAAGGCTTAGCGGGTACATCTATAGAATCCATTACTGATGGCTCACAAAATTGCACTAAGTATTGAAAACGGACGTTCTAATGAAGGATGTTTTCACTGCTCATACGCTTACATCTGCTCGCTGACGTTATGTTACAACGCCGCCGTCGTCGTTTAAAACATTGTCTCTCCTAAACTGGCGGTTGACAATATAAGAAGACATCGTTCGAACGTCGCATGTGAAAAAGAGTCGACTTGTGTTGGCTTAATATTGGCATGGGGGTTTAATGTTGTAAAAACATTGGCTCCTTGACAATGCTGAGCAGGCGCAAACCAGTAATTCCAGCACACAATTTAGAAACCGTCGATCATTCACATACACAGAGACAAAGTGAGGAAAAACTATGAGATAAGCTGCCAGCTATGAAACATCGACCAAAGACGAGCGTGATTGTCAATTGCCGTATTTTGTATTCGCGGACCGCGTCCGCCCCCTATATTGGGTTACCGACATAAATACGAGATTACATGTTCACTTACGAAGGACCTCAAGGATTTTCAATGGTCAACCGATAAATACGACATATGACAAAACAACCATAGATAGATAGAGTTTTGAAAGACTGATGGTTTAGGCTTCAATTTTCCCCCAACAGAAGTAGATACTAAAATATCATAGAGATTTCTTGCTTTTGCGGTAGTGCCAACGAAGCGGCACAACGGAGCTTTGGCCAGATGAAAAAAGCGAAAGAACTTCGCCAGGGAAATGTATTATTATTATATTAATTATTGCAGTAAATACAGTAAATTATATTCTAAGCCATCTAATTCTACTACATAAACTCTGAAATCCACTCAGCGTCACCTTCTGAAATTTCCCATAATAATTACAGAACACACTAAATTATGATTTGATCTAAAAACTTACAATTAAATGAAGGAGATTTTTTGTATCTGTTATGAAGTGCAACATCTATGTTGTGCCTATGAACACGTGAGCCGTATTGAGGTGGTACTTGCGTAACATGTTCTTAACAAGATTCTGGTAATAGCGACGTGGGTAACGTTTTCGCTTGGTAAATTTAAGATACATAGAAGCATAAAATTGAATCTGGGCATAGATATAGAACCCATTATTTTGGGCTAAGAGTAAGCCGTCTGAAGTACTGCAACGAACATACAAACACCCGAAAAGCTTGAGACTCCTTGAGAAAAATGACAAATTCAAAAGCGCCTCTGGTAATATGACAATTTGTTGTCTGTGATCGACACGATAATTTTTTCTTGTTGTTATTTCACTTTGTTTTTTTGTATAAGGTTTTGTATTTGACAAAATGACTGAGTCGAAAAAAGCGCAGCAAAGTTACAAAAGTTGTAATACAATACTAACAACTGTGCGTCGGACTAGCATATTCTTGGTATAATTTTCCGTCAGTTCAAAATCAAATGACGCGCTTCAGCCACGTTACACGCCGGCCAAAACTCACTTTCAGGGGGAAAAAAGCGTTTGTTTATCGGTAAATCCGGAATCATTATCTGTCGACGATGTATTGCTATTATTTTGTAGAAAATAATATCAATTTTCTACATCCTTTCCTTCTAGTAATTAAACCTTGTTGATAAATTTCTGGTTTTTTAATATATTTAATTATAAAATGTATGTCTCGAAAGGCTAAACCACGACGAGAGACAACCTAAATATATACGGGAATAAACATCGAAATAATTTATTGCCAAGTTATTGAAAGGTAAGAACCCTTATATTGAAATCAACGATAATATATTATGCAACTTGAATTAGCAGAGGATGCCAAATTTCTCTTCTTTTGGTACTCGATTAATAACCAATCTTCCATCATAGCTAATCGACGCAAAGATCCAGGGGTCGTGCGGTGCCCATTCTGTACAATAGATGGAGTCTTCATGATCATCAAACGCCTCCAAGAGGATATCGTTTGGCTTGCCCTTGCTAATGCTCTTTCTGCTTCGAATTTCTTCATTTTGCTCCTGATCCAGATCGGCCTCATCTGAGCAGACACTAACAACCCGTAGCAAGTACACCTTCGAGTCGGAACTGCCAGTCAGTACCAGCTGATCGTAGTACGGGTTAAACCGTACACTCCACACCCAGTGCGAATGGTTCCTCATGCTAACCACTGGTCGTTCGAGATTGCGAAGATCCCAAAACTTCACGGCGCAATCATCTCCAGCCGTGGCTAGAACATTGGGTCGATTCGGATTGAAGTCGAGACTACGTATCTGATTCGTGTGAGCGTTAGGAACCGTCCAGCATTCAACCATCGAGCGAACATCGACACCGCGAAGAGTGGAATCGCTGTTCAATGCCAACAGGTCGCCGGGTGGGTTGAAACCGAAGGCAAACGTCTTCAGCGTATTCTTCGCTTCGATTTTCGTGTACTGCGTCATTTTTTGCGAATCGACGTCGTAGAATACTGCTTGACAGTCAACCAGCGCAGCAAACGACTTCCCTCCAGCCGACATAATAGGTTGGAATTGAATCTGGCGAACCTCCGTGCCAACCTCTCCGGGCGGTTGAATCTCGTAGAGCAACTCGAGCTCGTCATTGTCCAGCCGGTGGATTGCGCCCCCCGTTGCGCAGCTGCCACCCCCAGCTGTTACCCGATTGAAACAGGTGGCAATTAGAAACGATTCAGGTTGCGCGGCGAGATGCCAGATCTCACCAAGCGGGTGTGGGTAGCTTTTCTTTTGCAGGGAATTAGGATTATCGTCATCGTAGGTTAGTCGATGAATATGATTATCACTACGAAGCGACTGGGTTCCAACGAGAAACGTGTTCTGTTCTTCTACATTACCAACTTCTTTGTACGGAACAAGAGTGCGAGCGTGCAACTCGATCCCTTGAATTAGAGCTGCCTCCGTCATCTTGAGTTTGATTACTAAATTGTGAAAAAAGTTTATCCTTCAAGTAAAACAATTTTTCTCGTTTCCCAATTTATTCGGCCCAAACAAAAGTCAGAAGCATACTTAGGTCGGAAAGTCCCCGAAATAACTATCCTAAAAAAATATTTTCTAGGTACATTGCTATCACTTAGAGAAATCGCCAGGCCCCATACGGACCCCGTCATCATTGACGTCACAAACTTTTACGGTACCGAACTTGATTAACGAGGCGGCCTGAGGTGGCAGTCATAGCGGCTTTAGAAACACACATACACAGATGCACAAACGCGAGTATCATAAAGAAATGACGGCATGTTAGCTGTTCTTTACACGGTTTCATACACCTAATAGTTTAAAACAATTTTCGGATAACATATTTCTTTATCTCTTTTGTGGGTTCATATGTATTCATTTTCATAGGTAATTGCAATCAGATATTTTGTGTAGAAAGACAGTGGAGCCGCGATCAGCACAGGGTCGACTAATATCGTTGAGTGCCTAGCCACTTTCCAAAGCTGCTGACGACATCAGCTGGAATCCACGAGTAAACACAAGTCGGACCTAAACAGTGAAAAAGATTGCCGAGCAGTGGGAGGCTTTTTGCAGATGCCCTATCCACCGCTTACTTTGCTGAGCCACACGGAGCAGACAGCTGCTGGGACCATAGATTTACCACTAGCGGTTAGCGGGCTCACACGTAACTTTCGTAGCAGTATAATTATATATTCTTGATATAGCGGTACCCGGAACTTCAGATCGTATCCGGTTGCCCAGGTAAATTGCGATACGGTATAGTATTTAGCTTGTTTTTTAAATCGCTCGCAACGCCAGCCTCCCTTAGAAGATGGCCGCCCACCGTAAAAGTAAAAGCTCGCTATACCAAATTAATGTACGACTCTACACGAATACTATTGATTGTGTCTCTGAGAAGTGTCCACGACAGCCAAAAGCCTTCACCGGGAGCTGCTATTGACGCTTATATCGATCGCACGAAGTTCGATACCCTAACAATCGATCGGGAGAGAGCAACGCAAAGGAAATCACAGACGTAGAATAGATAGTAAATGTGAAATCGATTAGGATTGTTGTGACATTAGTAACCGAAGTGAAAGATACCATTAGCTTAATAGCGAATATATGCACTCACATAGCAGTTGTACAACTGAACTTGATCCTCTTCGTTTCTTTGCTATCACAGAGGGGACAGAACGATCGCTGTCACATCTACAACACGCATATAACTCCCACCTGATGCGCTCGCTCAGGTTTGGGCCAAGTACACTTCTAATAAACAGGAATCGTACGGCTACCCTATGCCTGTCAATCGAGAGGCGCTCAGGCTTATTGGAGACAGAGAGCAAGGTGTTCATAAATAAACAACAATGCATCCATTCGCCGAGTGGAGGGAGTTTACCGCTATGATGTTTAATAACTAGATTAGGCAAGGTAGACGCAAAAGTTACATAAGGGTGTATGTTGATGGGGTTCTTTGGAATTGTTAATAGTTGTGTGTTAAATTTCAACGTTGCTTTTTTCTAATTGAGTTAGTAATAAATAAAGGTCGCGCTAAAAGCAGTAGGCCATTTGTTAGGCCCCTAAAATAACTAGCATTATTATATTAATTATGCTGCAACTTTTTAGATCAAGGATCGGACAAATGCATTTCACTTACGCAAATATAAAAACCTGTTTTTATCGTGCTTTTTTTAACACTTTTGTGGAGTTTTTCTGTTTTATTTTGGGTCAGTTGTCTCCCATTAGGCTAGGTTACTTTGTAATTAATTATTGCCACTAGTATTTTAATACATTATGTCGTTACGAATATGTTGCCTAAATTATATTACCCCGTTATTATCCCATCGCACCGGAAGCAGACGCTGCATTCCCCTACAGAATAATTTTTAAATGTATTGTGAAATTCTCTTCGTGTTCTGCGTCCGCTAATTATACTGTATATTGACCGCAGCTAGGTACAACCGATATTGGGTAGGAAAAGATCTTGCCTTCCTTATAATGTTTTCTTATTATAAGAACCATTTTTTGCAAAATAAATCCATACTTGAGAGCCTTATTTCAAATTTAACTTGTTAAAATACTTGGATAACGGCTATTTTATACAGAAACGTTAAAACTGAATAACAGCTAATGTTAGTTACGCACTGTAACATGCGATAATATTGGCTGCTTCCAAATACCCCTTTTTCTCGATGAAACCGTAAGACCTCAGTTATTTGAAAAATCTTTAATTAACAGCTTTTCTTCTAGACCTAATACAATAATAATTACTAGACCTAATATAATAATTATAATAGTTTTAGTTTTCAAAATACTAGTTTACAGTATTGTGCCATCAAAGCGTACTTGCTCTCAAGATTTCAACGTTTTAAGCAATCTAAACCTTTGATGAAGCTTACTTTTAGAAAGAGGTTTATATAGGAGTAAGCAAGGGTTATTTCCTTCGCAGAAAATCACTGAACAAAAGATATGAAATACATTGTGTTCTGAAATCTTACTACAGTAGGACGCCGTTTCATGCTGAGTTTTTGGGATCAACACTCAGACGGATACTAGTAATAGGCGATTAAATATGATGATTTTTTCTATCGTTAATGAGCCTTAGTCTGCAGAAGAAGCTACCGATTGAACTAGTTCCACGCGGCGAGAATTGTATCCCGGTTTCCTCAGATAACTCGTGTTTCTATTTGACCGCTAACACGTAATTACAAAATGGCGTCAGCATTTCATTAGAAACCACTCGCACGTATAAGTGCTCGAGTGCTCAAGCTCGATTTCATCTACTGGCAGTTACTCGCTTCTAAAGCTTTCAACAGGCTATGGCAGTACATGTTGACTATCTATACTACATTACAATAGCCGTATGGTTCACTCTACTCCATGAGCAATATTTGCGCTCTCTTTCCATGCAAGCTTTTTTCTCTCAGTCGACCTATCTAGTTATAGTATAATAATACTAACAGTATATTGTAGTTTACTATATGGCTACCTACGAACATGGAGTTGATCAGCTCAAATACTGATTAAGATTCTTCTAGTAGAGACTCGTTGGTGAAGATAGACTCCAGATTCTATTTTTGTTCACTAAGCGTCTGTCATGACGGTAATGAGCATAGTAGCGTATTTGCAACGTAGACGTTTATGGCGCCTCAGTATCTTTGTTGTTTGATGCTTTCGTTGTTGCTCTCATTGAGTTCGTGAACGTCACCGACTTTGATGGAAAACATCCACACGATATTGCTACAACTGATTTAACAAAGTGTTTATAACTTAAAATAATGGCAAATACTTACTTGAAGAAGCTTTTTTGTACGTTCGATAGCTTATTGGACATACAGTTTAAAATATACCTAATATTCGCTAAGACTATGCGCAGAAACGTAAATGACGATACAGGCTTGGCGTAGAGCAATAGTTTCAGAGGTCCTGGTAGTCGGAATCTCTGCCTACGGTCAAATATTTCAAGTGTATCAGTCGTTTACTTGTATTAACGTAATGACGAAACAATGGTGTGACCCATTTATAACGACTACGATAACTGAAATTTTTAGTGTTTGCCTGTGGGGATATTGTTTGCGATCGATCATTCTTCGCACGCAGTCGAATGCGTAAGACGTTTATTAGAAACTCTCTGCTGTTTGATCCGCAATAGAAACCAATTAGATAACGTTTCTTAATAACGATAGAGTGTATTTTATTTAGTTGAAAGTGAATATTTGTGGAATGTTTCTACTACGTGCAGTAGGTACCGCTAAGAACTGCTATCAACTTGGCTAAATTCTTAGACAGGGACCAGATGCTTGTCAAAAGCCGTCGTACATTCAAAGGCGGTTTATCTACCTCCAATGGCTGCATTAAGTAGCTGTGTCTGTATACGAATGATAGAATACCGCAGTGGTGCCTTGACAAACAAGCTGTAAAAATTCTCGCATACGATAGTTGGTATCAAGTTTATGTCATGATTTAATTACCGGTTTCTTGTTTTTTGTGTGTTCTAACGAGGTACAGACGTCAAGGCTAACACGTCTAAGTGAACGTAAGTGAATCGGGTACGAGCGACTAGCGATATGGCAGCAAATCACGAGCACAATAGACCCATCGAATGCCTGGTCAAAGAGAGCGGGCGGACTGAAAATCAGCGCCTATTGTAAGTTAGATAGGCTTCAATTTGGCTGGAAAGTTCAGAGTCATAGATGTCGAAGCCGGCTTTCAGCGTAAACTAGCTCAAATTGACAGATGCTATTGAAAATAAAATACAAGCTGGTCAATTAAATTCAAATATGAAATCAACTTAGGTTCGGGTCGGGTGATGATCTGTTGTTTGAACTCATTTATCGTCTGATTCGATCGAGTTGTCACTTTGCTATCAACTTGTAAAGGGTCCCTGTCTATGTTTACATGTAAAGATGAACGGCATTTTATACCGGGCATAAAAGTCTTGCTCGGAACTTTGCTATATTGTAAAGTTTCATTGTATATTGTAAAGTTTCATTTTACAACAATAGCTGATTAGGAAGCTGTACATTTGTTTACAGTTACCGCTTCATTTTCAACTGTTTTATCATCTCGGTCATACGTAAGTGATAATAATTTTTCCCATAGAGTTCCTTTGGAGACTGACATTGTTACTACTACATTTCAAACTTAATTTATATTCAAATAGCGGACGTTTTTGCATTTTCGTACGCGTAGTTCCACTTAGGAATTTATCGAAATTTCGTGTGTGAAACATAACTAGTTGATTGAAACTTAATGAGTTACATGTTGTTGCATCTATTGTTCCAAGGATTGAGGTTTTACGAAAGACTCGATCTGCCACCTACGCTATTGATCTGAGAACGTTCTTAATCAGTTCCTTTGTCACCGCTGAGTCTCAGTCAGGTAATACGACTGATCCTACAGTTTGATCCAAACAATGTCACTTATAGCAAAAAAAACTAGCAAAAGCTTGTATACTCCTTAGCACAACGACTGTGCAGTTGAGTCACTATTACCCGAGAATTCTCCTCTTTACTAGACATTTCTCTTTGTGAAGATAAAGCTATTATTCAGTTAAGTTATGCAAACAATTGCGAGCGGGTGAAGGATTTATTTGAGTTTATATTTAGTGAGTAAAAATATCAATAGAGAAAATTTACGGAAGCTAGTATGGGTCGCATTCGCGAAATTCGTTAAAAATCAGATATATATATA